CCTAAACCCTAAACCCAAGGTTCAGGGTTCAGGGTCGGGCTGTGAGGTCGGGATGACCTTGTAATATAGGGGTCTAGATAATTCCTAGTACTCTTTTTTTTGTGGGGGGGGTTCCTTCTTAGTATAATTATAGTATAATGGGCCCCAAAACCCTATTCTAATTATTAAGGCCCCCATATTGGCCCCCTAAACCCTAAACCCTAAACCCTAAACCCTAAAACCGAAATCATGTGAGGCCCTTGTTCGCGGTTGCTTCGTGGTGGCATTCCCTGCACCGCAAAAGTGTCAACCCGAAACCCGGCGTAAAGCTACCGTGTAAACCCTATACCCTATACCGTATACCCTACCTAAATCCTAATCCTAAACCCTACACCCTAAAACCCAAAACCCTATACTCTTGCAACCCTAAACCCTACACCCTAAAACCCTAAATACGAAAAAACCCTGTACAAACCCCAATATCCTTGCAACTTGCAACCCCGAAACCTAAACTCTCTTTCTCGCCGACCTGTATTTCGCAGACCTGCAAGTTGCTGTAAGCACAACCTCATTCAACCCCATGTACGAGAAAGCCGGTGTTAGGTACATTGTAGCTTACCACGGCACAAAGAGCATCTAGGAAGTTGGGCTTCTAGCGATTCTAATCTCGCGATCAGAAGCATCTGAAAGCCCCAAACCTCAAAGCCCTGAAAACGAAAGCCCAAAACCCTAAAACCCTGCAGCCCGGAACCTGAACTCCTTAGAAAGCACCAAGTCCGGTTTGGAGTTTAAATTTAGGGTTTAGGGAGCCCCAAATCCGTTAAATGGTCCAACCGACAGCTCCCAACCTCTTACTTAGAGTGTCGGGTGTTCGGCAGTTCAGAGTTTAGGATTTGGCATGAGCCCTCAGCGGCGTCATCCTTGTTCACAACGAACCGTGTTGAGGGTTTAGGTCAGTTTAAGGTCCTCGCTGACGCTTGCTGGAAGCCTTTTAGAGTGGTCTTTCTGGTCTCTGACCCACCGATCCTTTTCTGTTTCTATTGTAGTTTAAAACAGGGTTAACAAACCAGGCACTCTATGTCTGTTCTGGCTTCAAGAGGCTTCTTTCCTTAGGCTCCGCCATTGGATCCTTATTATCTTGTGCCTCCATGGGAATCAATGCTAGGCTGCTAGGCTAGGAGGTTCCATGTACCAGTACGGGTAGTTCTCGTCCCTTTTGAGGTCTCCAATATAGTACGGCACCCTTTAAAACAAAAACTAAACGGGACCCTAATATAGAGATCTCCTTATATAGTGTACACTTAGGCGTAGGCCTATTACAGGAGTTCCTATGCAGGGGCGCGCTATCTAAGGTACGCTCGCGTTTTGCCCCTAAGGGTCCATGTGCCCAAATAGTATATACTTTAGCCTTAATGTAGTCCCGATATAGGTACTTTGGGGCCAAAGTATATACTATTTGGGTACATGGACCCTTAGGGTAAGGTACAATCGCAGGTCGGTTCCGTACCGTAAAAATCAGGCTGCCGCGCTCCTGCCCGGGTCTGTTCGTGCCCCTTGCCCTGCACTCGCACGTCGCTTCCGTACCGTAAAAATCAATCTGCCGTCGATTAAGCTTTAACCTTTTGCCCAAGACGAGAACCCTGAGGAGGAAATCCGGCAAAATCCAAAGCCGTAAACCTTGAACCCTAAACTTTAAGCCCTCGAATCAAAGACGAAAACCCTGAGGAACGAATCCAGCAGGAACCTTTTGCCCAAGACGAAACCCTAAGGAGTGAATCCTGCAGGAACCTTTTCCCCAAGACGAGAACCCTAAGGAGTAAACCTGACGAGAATCTGCTGCCCACAACGAAAACCCAGAGGAAACCCTGAACCCTGCAGCCGGGCAGGGGCACTGCAGCCCCATTTTTACAGTACGCAAGTGACCCTGAGTGCGCTTTAGATTCGCTAGGGCCGTGAGTGCGCCTTGGATGCAAAGGCGATTGCGGCTTAGATTTAGAAACCCAAAAGCACATAAGCATAAGCATTTTATAGGGATATCCCTACCTTATTGGGCTTCATTATAAGAGGATTTATATGGGATATTCCTAATTCTTGCTTATGTGCTTTTTTGGGGCCCTATAGATGGCCTGGCCCCTATGCAGGGACTTTCGTGTAGCGTTAACGTGTAGATCTCTGCAGCTACATGGACCCTCAAAGGAACCCTTAACCCCTAAATGAACCCTTAAAGCACAGGAAACCCGGAACCCTTCAAGGAACCCTTAAAGGGAGCGTGCAAAGGCAAAGGACATGCCCGTCTGCCCAAGCAAGAGTGGAAGGCCTGGCGAGGATTGAAGTTGACGCAGAAACTGTCGTTGGACTAGGGTCTTCAGCTTTGGATTAGAGTCTTGATTTGAGCGTTTCGGGTTTGGGGTTTTCATCGCGATGATGCTGGTGCACCGTCATCATCTGCAGGTGCAATGACAGTAGCATCTTGCCGCCACCATCCTCATCATGACCGTCATCACTTGACCATCAGAACCATCGTGACCATCCGCATAGATCTCCTCCTGCTCATCGCCACCTACTTGATTAACTGCCACCCCAGTATCACCGCAACGACCTACCCCAGATGCGCACTTGAGCTTGATGTTGAAGCACCTCCAGGGATTGTGGGAACCTAGTGAGAAATGCCTCTCAACACTTGCTGCATCCTTGCTACTCCTGCTATTGTTGGGTATATACAGACCGATCATCCAAGACTCCAGATGGCAATGCTCTGGGAACCTGAGCAGAGACGGACACCAGTCTGGAAAGGGAGACTCGCGTCGTCAACAAGTTTATCTTCCACTTTTCAAAGAGGTCGAGCTGGTCCTGTCAAAACGCCCACAGCCCCTATGCCTTCAGGCCCTAATCAATGCCTTCTGCGCTATTTTTGAGCACCAAACCCAACGCTAGACTTCAAGTCTTGGGCAGGCGAAGTCGCTGCGATTTGTTCACGAGGCAGAACTCATTGAGGATGGCTTGGATGCACTCAAGTGGGCCTCGTGGCCAAGAGGTTCGGGGTCTCCTGCGGGTTTAGGGTTCAGGGCGAAGGGGTTTAGAGTTCAGGGCATAGGGGGATTCAGAGTTTGGAATTTTAGGGGGGCCTCTGGTTTCCAGGGCGACGACTTCATAGTTTCAAGCTTCTGGACCGCCCTAAACCCTAAACCCTAAACCGACACATGGGCCTGAAGAGCCAGAATCTGGTTTCGTGCTATGACTATGCAGGGATGCTCATTCACTGGAAGAGAAGTTTAGGGTTTAGGGTTTACGGTTTAGGGTTTAGGGTTTAGGGTTTAGGGTTTAGGGTTTAGGGGGGGGCTTTGATAGTTTAGGGTTGGGGTTGTGTCGGTATGGCATCCATGAGAGCTCTGTGATGTTTTGGTGGTTTGTGCAGGGTGCGTGATCTTCGCTTCATTTGGTAGTGTTTTAAAGCGGCATGTTGTTGCTTGTGAGGGTTCTGGATTCTGCATTTGCTGTGTTGTGCTGTTTCTAGCATTGTTGGTCCGTGTTTTGGGACGCAATGCATTTCGGGATGTGGCAAATATACGGTCTAGTGACCAGTGTTTACTTCCCCTAAGCCCAGCCCGGTGTCGCTTCGCATCTTCCGCGTCACTTTTAGAATATCCTTAAACTCTAAACCCAAAACCCTAACCCGTGGTTTGAACTCGGGCAGAACCTTGCGAGTTCGAGTCAATCACAGGAATTACTGAAACAACTGAGCCTCTCGACCTGAAATCATGCGAACCCGATAAGGAATCCTAAGCACTAGTTAGTATCCTCCCAAGAATCCCAAAAAGGAAACTCAACAGCTTCTGGACCCCACCTACACCCTAAACCCTACTAAACAAACCGGCACCAGCAACCTTCCGCCGTGACCTACACCCTAAACCCTAAACAACAAACCGGCACGAGCAACCTTCCGCCGTGACATGCAAGGAAACCACAGACTACGCCGCCTTATCCGCCTGGTACGACGCTGGACAGAACCCAATAGATCTACGTTTGGAACCTACTTTGAAGCCAAAGTACATGGGTAGTTCTCTGAATTAGGGTCCCTTTTAGATCCCCAAACTAGTACGGCACCCTTAGAACAAGGACCCCAAAGGGACCCTGATTTAGACAAATACCGTTGAACTATCCATAATACTCTTTGGGCACATGGGAGACTCTGCCGAGGTTGATGGTAATATAAGGTCCTAAAAAATTACCAATACTATTTTTTTGGGGGGTGGAGGGCTCCTTATTATAGGTATAGTATAAAGACCCCCACACCGTACTGTATTAGGTTTCGGGAGTTTGAGGTCCTCTTGGGCTGCGCGGCAAGGGTCATCTTTGCCGCCTTGGGGTTTAGGGTCCAGGATGGCAGGATCTGGGTTTCGGTTCCCTAAACCCCAAATTCTAAACCCCGAACCGCAAACCCTGAACCCTAAACCCCCAAACCCTGAACCTTGAACCTTAAACCCCTAAACCCCGAACACTAAAACCCAAAACCCTAACCCGTAAAGAAAAAGCACCTGAACCCCAAGATTCTGTGCCAGCTGAGGATGAGGACTTGTGGGCCACTCTTCACTTCGAGGAGGATCTGGGATGCTGCGAGGCGGCGAGGGGACCAGGACGGTGTTGTACTGTAGGACAACCCGCTTCGGGGTCGTAATCCCTTTAAGATCCCGATGACCCTGAGGGTCCAAGTGCCCAAATTATAGGGGGGGAAATGTGGGGGCTGTGGGCACCAAATGTCATACTCTGCATTGTTGTTGGTGTCTAGAAGACTAGACTAGTAGTTGGGTACTATTATCAAGTGTTTAGGGTGTAGGGGTCTAGGGTGTAGGGATCTACATTACCAGGTCTTGTCTCGTGTGGACTAGCCTAGGCTTTGCATCGTAGGTTGGAGGCTCTCTGGGACTGGGCCTGAAGAAATTTGGGGTTAGGAGTTTAGGGTTTAGGGTCTAGGGCTTTGGGTGCTCTGGGACTGGAGAAATTTGAGTTTAGGGTTTAGGGTCTAGGGCTTCGGGTGCTCTAGGACTGAAGAAATTTGAGTTTAGGGGTTCGGGTTTAGGGTTTAGGGTCTAGGGCTTAGGGTGCTCTAGGACTGAAGAAATTAGAGTTTAGGGTTTAGGGTTTAGAGTCTAGGGCTTAGGGTGCTCTGGGCTTGAAGAAGTTGGGGTTAAGGGCCTAGGGTGGCGAGCTCACGGCAACCGAAGAGCGTCACGCCGGACAGGGCTGCCCACTGGCTTACACAGTATATGGCTAGTAACCTGCTATTTAGGTA